GATCGAGCTGCGTTTTGCGCGGCGTTCGTTGGAGCTTCTATCGCGGTTCACCACCAGCGAAGGTGGGGGACAGGAGCCAACCCTCTGAGCTGCTTCCGAGATCCAGGATGCTCTCGAGCAGGCGCCCCGTTCTTTCACGCTGGATTGGCTATTCCGTCTCCTGCTGCCTGGTTCCTGTTTCCACCTCTCACTGGTTGCTGTGTGCCTATCGTGGTGGTGCCACTGGGCTGGGGCTTAGTGCATCCCCCTCCCCGTCCTGTCGGGGATTCGTTCGAGCATGTCAGCGGCTTGCGTCCTGAACGGGTAGTTACTGTCGGATCGTTGTTGGTGGATTTTTTTTTATAGTTTTCTGTAGCACCTTGTCTTGCTTCCTCGCAGCCTCTCTCGTGTATATATGCCTCTCCCTGCTGTCCCCGCCGCCGGCAGGCGGGAAAGTGGCTCCGCGCCCCGCCCCGCCCCGGCAGCCGCCTGCCCCCTGATGCAGCGGAACCCTCGTCGCCGCACGTGGGCGGGGGAGTGATTGCGGGGGGTGGGGCCGCCCTCAATCGGACAGGCGCCCGATCCGCCAGCGCGGCGTTTCTCCGCCGTGTCCTTCTTGCCACTACCCGCGCGCGGTGCTCTCGTTGAAGCGCGAGGTTCCCTCTTTTTCTTTCTGCCGGCCGCTGCCTGCGGCGCGCGCGCGCTGTCGTTGAAGCACGGGGCTCGCAGACTTGGAGAGTATGTGTGGCAGGTTGTTGGGTACCGTGGTTCGGTACCGTGCTTCTGCCAGGCTCCCCCCCGCCCCCGGGGCGGTTCCCCTGGCGCGTCCTCTCTTTGCTGCCGTTACTTTTCCGCTGGTGCCGTTGCGGGCCGTTCCCTGCGCCCCCCAGCTGCTGCTGCTCCGCTGTGCCTCTGCAGTTGCTGCTGACGCTGGCGGTTGGGTGGGCCCTCCGCTTGGTTGCTGGTCGTAGGCAGGTTTCGTTGGAGGTTTGGCGGGACCGCGTTTCTTGTCGCTGGCGCGCCAAGGCACCAACCAGCCGTCCCACCGAGTACCTGGCCGCCCCCCTCAAGCCGCCCTTCGTGCTTCTTTCGCGCGTCTCTCCTGCTTGCTCGCTGCCTTGCCGATCCTCTCCCTATGTGGCGTGTGCCCGCGAGCGGGCGGCGCATGATCGTGGACAGATGACGTACGGAACCTGAACGCGTCTGCGGTGGAAGAAAGCTCTCCCTCATCGTCCTTCCTCCCTCCCTCCCCGATCAAAGTCTGTGCAAATCCGTCCCCGGACTCCTCGCAGGATCCGCCCTGCTATGTTTTACATTCCTTGTCGGCTTCTGACGGCCCCGAGGCTCGAGACGGGCTCCCAGATGCCGAAGTCTGAACAACGACTTCTGAGCGGCAGAGTCGAGAAACATCGAACACCGAATCTCGGAATCCACCCCGTCTCCCCGTGGCATGTCTTGGCATTTGCGCTCTGGCCAGTTTTTCTCCAGGACCGTGCACCGACTGGGGCAGAGATGCGTTCCTCACCCGGTCCCAGGCCGCACCACACAGCTATCGTAGCGTTCTGCGGCTGCAGCTCGGGCCCTAGGGGCCTGCAGCTCGACCTCGGGCGCCAAATCCGCGTCAAACGCCAAGCAGGCGTAGAAATCAGAACCAGGCAACCGCAGCCTTCAATCAAGGGAGGATAAGCCACCCAGACCAGACAATGGGCGTCCACGAAACGGCCCTGGGCGTTTACTAAACAGCCCTGCCCTGTTCGATTCCTTCTTGGGACTCATCGACTTCGCGTGTCGGGATGGTTATTATGGGGGGGGGGATTTGACTTCTATTACATATTTCCTCTTCCTCTCGTCGTTTTATCGTCCCCGTGCTCCTCCTCCACCCCGAAACGGCGTGGGCGGGTCGATGGCTCACCCTCCTTGGCCGCGCGCCCGTCTCCTCCGCACTCCGGCCCCCCCCAGCTTTCTCCCTCCCTCCATGCCGAGTCTTCTGGGGGCATGCTCTGCTCGGGGGCGGCAAAGAGGGGGGTGATGACTAAGGTGTGGGGGGGGTATCATGGCGGGGGCCATGCTATCTCCCCAGGTTTCACGGCGCCTCTTCTTATTTCAAAATGTCCCTGCCCCCCCCCCCCCTGGGCCGCGCTCATGCCGCGAGCCATGATTTGCGCCCCCCCCCTCTTCGACGCCCCCCTCTTGGCCGCCCCCGAATGCTCGGTCGCTGGTACCCACGAGGGCCGTCGCTCCCCCCCCGCCAGGGTGCCGTGAAAGACCCTGCTGATACGGGCAGGGCCCCTCTCGTGGCGCGTTTGGGGGGGCAGCTCAGACGGTTTCGGCCGTTGCGCCCGAGCTTGCTGTGCAGGACATGCGCCCCCAAAGCCTGCAGGCCCATGCGGCATGTGATAACATGCGCAAGGCATGCGCAAAGCCCCAAAAAGGTTGCCACTGGCGCTCCCGAGGAGGATCCCCGACTCTCCTCGATCCCCGACCCGCCTCGACATGCGATCCTCCTCGATCCTCTTCCTTCTTCGGTCCTCGTCGACCCTCGGTCCTCCTGGATCCTCGGTCCTCCTCGATCCCCGAGTCTCCTCGGCCCTCGGCGCTGCCCGATCCGCGACCCTCCTCGATCTTCGATCCCCCCTGGACTCCTCGACTCCGAAAGCCGCCCCCTCCGAGCCGCCCCCTCCGAGCCGCTTCGGACACGCCCCCTCCGAGCCACCCCCTCCGAAAGCCGCCGCCTCCGAAAGCCGCCCCCTCCGAAAGCCGCCCCCTCCGAAAGCCGCCCCCTCTGAGCCGCCGCCCCCTCCGAGAGCCGCCTATAGGGCACGCTCCCGCCCTGCCCGGAGCGGCGCGCCGCGCTGCGCCAGGCCGCGCCCCCGGAGGAGCCGCCCCCGCAGCCGCCGACGCCGCCGGCGTCGGCGCCGGCGACGCCGCCCGCGGAGGACGTCGGGCGGGGCGCGGCGTCCGCACGGTTCCAGGCCTCCCAGATGGGGTCGGAGCAGATGGGGTCGGAGGATCGCGACGTCTCGTCGATGCATTGCCGATGTGGCTCGATGTGGAGCCCCACTTGCTTCACGCCGACGCCGCCGATGCATCGCCCACGTCGGCGATGCATCGCCGGTGCATTGCTGATACATCGGCGATGCATCGCCGATGTATCGGCGATGCGGCGCGATCTTCCGACCCCATCTACTCCGACCCCATGAGCCCGTTTCTTTATTGCTTGGGGCATGACGGGCGTCATGGCAGGTAATAGTAGCTGGCTGTTCGTTCGCAACGTCCCTGATGAAGCTGATTATGTTGACGCCTTGCGATGCGGCTCGGCTGCGCTGGCCGAGCGTCAGATTGTTCAACGCAGTCGATGACCTGGCGCGTTTTGCTTCGCTCGGCGCAGACAGGCTAGGGATGCCCATCGGTAGTGCAGCGTCTTCTATCTGCGAGCAGTTGGAGAATTTGTTTCTGGTTACGTCTAAGGAGAGGGGGCTGATCATTGCATATATTCCCGATGTTTCGGAGGTGGTCAGGAAACGTCATCGTAAGTGGGGTTACCGCATGGCTACGTCGGGGCAGAGCTTGGAGATCGACTGGAGCCTATGTAGGAGTGAGAGAGCCACCAAAGTTCAGAAATATCGTTTTACCCAGCTACGGCCGCGTTTGCCTCGGCTCAGAGGTTTTCGGAGCAGACTCAGAGGGGCCACGAAGGTCACCGAAGTGGGGGCTCTCCCATCGGCGCTCTACGGGGCCGCGGCCGTCAGGGCCCCACAAAAAAGAGGTTGATTGAGTTAAGGGCAGTGGTGGCCCAGGCTGTATTCGAGACACCCAAAGGACGGTCTCGTACCCCAGAGTTTCTTCTAGGCCCTGACCCATGAGCTGACCCGGAGTGCGCAGCGAACGCAGGCCCCGTCGCCGCGTGGATCGTGGTTATCCAGCAAAGGTGGGCACCGCTGCTGCAGCTCAAGGAGTGCGTTCGATTATTTTGCTGACCGTCCCTGACCGAGGATGGCAGCATGTCCAAGGACCCGCAGGAGCGGTGGCTTGCACATTGGACAGGCTGAGTTGGACGATTCATTCCTGGGGTTCTAGGGAAACGCACCGTGGGCTTCCCGTCAAGCCTTGTTATCGTGGAAGGCGTATTTTCAAGAGTATCACCCAGAAAGGTACCCAACGTGGCCTCAGGAGTCTAGGACCTAGGAGGGCCCCAAGGCAAAGTCGAAGGTCTGTCTGGTGCGCCCTGCGTCGAGCCTCTTATCAATCTACGTCGGGAGAAGGGGGCGAACGGCCCACGGGGAACTGCAGGGCGTCTTGCGACTGCAGTTTCAGGAGGCTCCGCCGCGCAGTATCAGCCTTTCGCAGATCGGAGAGTCACCGACGGCAGCTGCCAGTGGTGCCGGCGCCTGGCACAAGAGCCCACAGGTACTTCGAATGTGATGCGCAGCGGCTATTCTTAAGTAGGCTAGACCTCGGCGATCATTTGGACAAAGCGCGTCATGCGAGCGATACTGTTCCAGGCTACACAAGATGTCTTTACGTAAGTTCAGAGTGGAGCTGGCCCAAGCCACATTTCGACGCCGAGTCGAAGTGGTCGCGCTTCCCGTCCAACGGACGGCTCGACGCAGGCTATGCGTGCAACGCGGCTCGGGCCTCGATCAGCAGCGCAGCACTTTTGCGAAGGCAGGATCTGCTGTTGCGGGGTTGGATGTGGAAGGGAATCTCATTGGGGGTATGTGCGGAACACTGCCACGTCTGTTGCAGCTTGCAGGGCGTGTCGAAGTCTATGCACATATTGCAAGATGGTCCTGGATGTTTGGAATGCTGGACCCGCTCAAGATTTGGCAAACACGTATTTATCGCAACTGTGTCACGACATCTGTCGGGTAGTTGAGGACATCGGTATTCAGAATGTAAGTCTTGTCGGAGTGAAGTCGCACCTCAGCCGGACGTCGGCAGTGGATGCAGGTGCGGAGTATTGGGCGTGGTTTGGCATACGCGAAGCTGACCGTCTCGCTAAGGAGGGAGCTCGTGCTCAGGCTAACTACCCGTGTGTCCGCACACATTATCAAAGAAGAGGCTCAAGTTCGGCAGCCAGCGATCGTGGTCTCGTGTGTTCTCGACCTTTTCAGCCAAGTTGAATATCCCGGACGTCTCAAAGTATCGTAAACATGTTCGTGCCAAGCCTTCCCTGCTTGAACTGATTCCTGACCCGCTTCGCCACCAGTTAGCTCGAGCAGGCAACGGTTTCATGCGCAGCAGGACCATCGTTCGAGCTCGACCCGCAGGCTTGGAGGCGGGACGCTGCGCCCCTGTAGCAGCAACTCCGACGTCATGGCGCTGGGATGAGGTCCAGCTCGGGCTCGGAAGGGGCTGGGTGGCAGGGCTCGACCCCATCGGTGTTTTGGCGATTTCGTGGACCGTTTTCGTTTGTTACTTCGTTTTGCAGCGAAGGCGGAGCGAAGATAAATCGACGGAGAACGATAACAAAGCGACCGCGAAACAAAAACACTGTTTTGGTCGAGCCCCGCTGGGTGGTTCTTTGGGTCTGCTTGCGTTCCCTCGTAATTTTGTGAGGGAGCCCCCTCGACGTTCGTTGGGTCATGGCGCGCGCGGAGTCAGTTTGCCGGACTGGGCGGATGATGTAAGGGACGGGGACCCGAACAGGAACTAGGTTCCTGTTGCCGTTGCGAAGATAATTTGCCGCTGGTTCGTGTGGGCCGTTCAACGGCGTTGCGGCTTCGTTCCACATATTGAGTTTTTCCCCACCATTCTGTGGTGTTGGGTCCTCGTTTTGAAGAGACGTTGCCCAGCGTTCCTCCTCCTCCTCCTCCTCCTCCTTCCTCCTCCTCCCCTTCTTCCCCCCTCCTCCCCCTCCCACACCCATTCTGGCACACCCCTCACACGTTTCGTGGCCCCATAGGGAGCTCCACCGAAGGCCCCAGTGGCTGCGCCCGCATGCGGTTCCACCCCCATTCTGGCACACCCCTCACACGTTTCGTGGCCCCATAGGGAGCTCCACCGAAGGCCCCAGTGGCTGCGCCCGCATGCGGTTCCACCCCCCATTCTGGCACACCCCTCACACGTTTCGTGGCCCCATAGGGAGCTCCACCGAAGGCCCCAGTGGCTGCGCCCGCATGCGGTTCCACCCCCCATTCTGGCACACCCCTCACACGTTTCGTGGCCCCATAGGGAGCTCCACCGAAGGCCCCAGTGGCTGCGCCCGCATGCGGTTCCACCCCCCATTCTGGCACACCCCTCACACGTTTCGTGGCCCCATAGGGAGCTCCACCGAAGGCCCCAGTGGCTGCGCCCGCATGCGGTTCCACCCCCCATTCTGGCACACCCCTCACACGTTTCGTGGCCCCATAGGGAGCTCCACCGAAGGCCCCAGTGGCTGCGCCCGCATGCGGTTCCACCCCCCATTCTGGCACACCCCTCACACGTTTCGTGGCCCCATAGGGAGCTCCACCGAAGGCCCCAGTGGCTGCGCCCGCATGCGGTTCCACCCCCCATTCTGGCACACCCCTCACACGTTTCGTGGCCCCATAGGGAGCTCCACCGAAGGCCCCAGTGGCTGCGCCCGCATGCGGTTCCACCCCCATTCTGGCACACCCCTCACACGTTTCGTGGCCCCATAGGGAGCTCCACCGAAGGCCCCAGTGGCTGCGCCCGCATGCGGTTCCACCCCCATTCTGGCACACCCCTCACACGTTTCGTGGCCCCATAGGGAGCTCCACCGAAGGCCCCAGTGGCTGCGCCCGCATGCGGTTCCACCCCCCATTCTGGCACACCCCTCACACGTTTCGTGGCCCCATAGGGAGCTCCACCGAAGGCCCCAGTGGCTGCGCCCGCATGCGGTTCCACCCCCCATTTCGGCACACCCCTCACACGCTTCGTGGGTGGCTCCATGGGGAGCTCCACCGAACGCCCCAGTGGCTGCGCTCGCATGTGGTTCCCCCCCCCATTTCGGCACACCCCTCACACGGTTCGTGGCCCCATAGAGAGCTCCACCGAAGGCCCCAGTGGCTGCGCCCGCATGCGGTTCCACCCCTTTTTTCGGCACGCCCTTCACACGCCTCGTGGCCCCATAGGGAGCTCCACCGAACGCCGCAGTGGCTGCGCTCGCATGCGGTTCCACCCCCCATTTCGGCACACCCCTCACACGTTTCGTGGCTCCATAGAGAGCTCCACCGAAGGCCCAGTGGCTGCGCTGGCATGCGGTTCCACACCCCATTCTGGCACACCCCTCGCACGTTTCGTGGCCCCATAGGGGGCTCCACCAAAGGTCCCAGTGGCACTGCCCGCTTGCGTCCGCCACCACCCAGCACAGCCCTTGTTCCCTGCGCTTCACCCACCCAGAACAGCGCTTCGTAGCCCTATAGGGAGCTCCACCAAAGGTCCCAGCGGCACCGCCCGCATGCGTCCGCCACCACCCTGCGCAGCCCTTGCTCCCTGCCTGCGTTTCACCCACCCAGTACAGCGTTTCGTGGCCCCATAGGGAGCTCCACCGAAGGTCCCAGTGGCACCGCTCGCATGCGTCCGCCACCACGCAGCACAGCCCTTGCTGACCGCGTCTCACCCACCCAGTACAGCGTTTCGTGGCCCCATAGGGAGCTCCACCGAAGGTCCCAGTGGCACCGCCCGCATGCGTCCGCCACCACCCAGCACAATTGCGGCATTCACAGCTGCATATGGTTGGGTCCTTCGCCAGGCTAATTTTTCTGGCAGCGCCAAGATTGTAGTGCATCTGGTACCCCTCCTTCATGCCCCGCAGCAGCAGCAGAGGAACCTGCCATGGGTGCTGCTGCTCCAGGGCAGCAGAGCGAGTGTGTGATACGCCCCATTTCAGCCAGACGGTGCCCCTGGAGGCCCATCATCCCCCCCTCCCCCCGTCCTTCCTCTTCTTTCGAACAGGTCACGTAGGACAGTCAAGCCAAACGACCAAAGCATGTCGATGCAGTTTAGTTGTCAGTGCATCGGTATAACGTTTCGACCTTTGCGGGGCTGTTCGGAGCCACCCCGCCCGCTGCCACGCTGGCTTTGTCGCTGTGCATGCAGAGGAGCAGTGGGAGCATTGCCCCACTCGGGAGGGAATCGGGATCCCCTCCTCCCCCATGGATCGACTACGCGTAAGAGTGACTCTTCGCTGGAGTGGCCTTTGGTGCGGGCCCAAAGGGCTCCCCCGATCGCTGAGCGCGAAGCGGCAGCGGCAGCAGCGGCTTGCGCGCTCAGCTTTGGCCACCCCGCGTCCCCCGTTAAGCTGCGCACCAAAGGCCACTCCTACCCAGGGTCACTCTTACGTGTGGCCGATCTGGAGGAGGCGAGGAGGCGGAGGTCGACGACGACGGGGAGTCCAGCGAGGACGGGCGAGGAGGGCGCGGAGGTGCGGAGGCAGCGCGTCCCGACCACCAGGGGTGGGGGCGTCGAAGGCCCCCGGAGGTGACTCGGCTGCTCTCGGAGCCTTTCCCTGGGGTGCCGGAGGCTTCCGGAGCTCCTCTCAGGCTTTCGGGGCTGTCGCCCCGTCGTCCCGTGGTCTCGGAGGGCTCTCGGAAGCCCTTGGAGGTGTTGTCCATGGCGGCATGGGCTCCCGCGGGCTCTCGGGTCCTCCATCGGGGGCTCTCAGCAGGGGCTCACCGCAGTTTTTCTGAGTTTTGGAAGGGGGGGAGGAGGACGGAGTGCAGGAAGGGGCGAGTGGGTGGAGGGAGGGAGGGAGGAGGAGGAGGAGGAGGAGGAGGGGGAGGAAGAGGAGGAGGAGGAGGAGGAGGAGGAGGAGCATCGGGATGGGGAGACGGACGGCGACGACGGCGAGGAAGAGGACGCGAGCCAGGAAGGGGAGGAGGAACTCGAGGCCGACGACGGAGCGGCGGGAGGGGGGGGGAGGGGGGAGGGGGAGGGGTGCCAGCGAGGGGAGCAGAAGTCGGAGGCAGGGCGGCGGCGAGGGCAGTGAGGGCGGGGGCGCGGGCCGGTCCGGGCGGACGCGCGGGGGGGGGTGGGCGGCGCAGGAGCCCCGCGCCGCGCCCAAGCGGCCCGCGCCGGCCGCGGGCGAGGACGGAGGCTCCCTGGGGCGGCGGCGGCGGCGACGCCGACCACGGCGCTCACGTCGACGACGGCGACGACGACGACGACGACGACGACGACGACGACGACGACCCAGACGACGACCCAGACGACACGACCCAGACGACGATCCAGACGTCCACCCAGACGACGGCCCAGACGGCCGACCGCCGGAGGGGTCTTGAGTGGCTCTCGCCAGGGGCTCTTCTCGCTGCGGGATGCTTTGTTTAAATGGTCCAGCGCCGACCCCCCAAAAAATGCGCGGACCGAGAGCATGTGCTTCTGTTTGTGAATGCCAATATCCAATACACATATGTACACATGTGCCCACCCCCACCGCCCAGCACCCGGTGGCGAATGGCCGTGATCGCTCCGTTCCTTAGTCTCACCCTCACGCTACTCCCTCATCATGCTCATCCTTACCGTCCTGATCTATCTCGTCCTCACTCTCACCATCATCCTCCTCGTCTCTCTCTCTCTCTCTCTCGCTCTTACGGTTTCCTCCTCTTGCATCTTCTTCCTCCATGATTAGCTCTCACATCTTCTCTCCTCTTTATTTCATGGCAATGTTTTCTTCATTGACCCTCCTCAGCGCATCTCGCTCGTCGGTCATTGCTCAACCTCCTCGATCTCCCTCTTCATCCTCATCCCCGGTGTTCCCTCCCTCACTAGGGGAAGCTCCAACGAAGGCCCCAGTGGCTGCGCTGGCATGGCACCATCGCGCCCATTTCGGTACACCCCTCACACGTTTCGTGGCCCCACAGGGAGCTCCATTGAGGGCCCCAGTGGCTGCGCTCGCATGGCACCACAGCACCCATTTCGGCACACCTCTCACACGTCTTGGTGGCCCCAGTGGGCGCTCCACCGAAGGCCCCAGTTGCTGCGCTTGCACGGCACCACCGCGCCCATCTCGTCACAACCCTCACACGTTTCGTGGCCCCACAGTGGGGTCCACCGAAGGCCCCAGTTGCTGCGCTCG